CACTGTCCTGCAGCATCTTCCCCATGAGCGTGGCTGATTCGGAATTGCTCTGTAATTGGAAGTCAGCCTCACTGGGCAAGTGCGCGCGCGTCCTCAGCTCTTCACAGCTGCCTACCAGCCTAGTTAGACTACAGAAATAGAGAAACAATTAGTTGGAGGCATTTGCAAAATGAATGCATGTTGGTGATCTGTGTAGTTACAGAGACCTTCTGACTCAGATCGAACTGTGTGGATGTGCTGATTTGACCAATGGAGAAAAAAAAATCAAAGAAAATTCTCCATGTCCCATGACTCCAGTCTATTCTTGGCTGAGACCCTAAGGCCTCTGCAGGGTCAGAGAATTTGTTTATAGCCATGGTTTCTGGACTGGGGAGAGAAATGCCATTTCCACCTCCCTCTCCTTTTGCAAACAAATGGAGAACAACAAGGAGAACAGAAGCAGTAAAGAAACTTCCTTCATTGGAATTTGGAAAAATTCGTATCTAGACCCACAATACTATGTTTGAAAAAGGGTTTTCAGATTAGTGAAAACTGTACCAGTGTGAAGATAGACACAGAGAGAAGGCTGAGGGCTTCAAATGTCATGGGCAGACTAGACAAAGTACAGAACTCTTCAAAATAGATGTCACAGCCTTGGCTTGAAACACGGTCAGGGTACATGGATGGACAGCAACCTGCTGTCAGCCCTGATGACCTCAGATAACAACCAAGCAAACACACAGGAAACATACACACCCTCCATCTTTGCCATCCTAGGAGACGATGGGCGGGTGGGTGGAGGATGAACTCGGGGGAGCAAACAGCCTTCCACCTTCTGTGTCTGCTAGAGAAGAGTGAAGACATCACCGCCACCAAAAACCTCTGTCAAGTGGTTTCACTGGGAGGTGGGAAACTTCCAGCCAGCCCAGAGCCACTCACAGCATTCACAGGGGATTGAGAGGGTTCTGGAGGCAACAAGCCCAAAGTGCTCACCAGCTCACTCACCTGGTCCTTACCCTCACTGTCTTCTCTCATATGGCTCAGGAATAGTAACCCCATCCTCGGCTCAAGGATGGACAATATTAAAGAAAGAAATCAGCGTGAGACTTATGTGAACATGTTGCATTAAAAATATCAGACATACACACAGAGGTGGATGAATAAAACACATCAGAAAGATTATATCACAAAGCAGATGAAAATTAAGACAATATATTTTTCTAAAAAGCAATCTGGCAACATATATTAATACCAAATATACACACACTTTAATTTACCTACGAATTCACCTAGAATGATTATTCTATCAAATTTCACTGTCCAATATGGTAGCCACTGATACTTGAAATATGGAACTCTTTCATATATGGAACTGAGAACATAAAACTTTAATTTAAAAATGATACTCATTCAGTTGGAAATAGAAGTTTCCACTGGAAAACTCTTAAGCATGTTTGGAACAACCTGGGTATGTAAATTTACTTTTCAACTACAAATTTTATGAAATCTAAATATGGATCAAGTATTGCCAATGAAAATTTAGTGTCTCAAGACATGCTTCAGGTATAAAATATACATTATATTTTAATGACTTAATTCAATAAATAGAATGCAAAATATCTCATCAAAATAATATCTAGGATATATTGGGTTTAATATACTGTTAAAATTAACTTAACTAGTTTCTATGAACTTTTTTAATGTAGCTACTAGATAATTTTAAATTTACATGCAACTTGTACTATATTTCCATCAGACAGCACTGCTAAAGAAAATAAAAGCAGCAATATGTAAAGTAAATGGACAAAAACTGTTCAAAGTAGCCCAAAAGCAAAACAAAAACAAACTAGAAAGAAAGTGGATACTTGTGCCTAGAGGACCGGTTCATACATATACATACACGTCATGGGCTGTTATGAAGACTTTGAAAAGTTTTGCCAGGGGACTTGACTATCCACACAGAATTGTTACAGAAGAAAAGTAAACTGCATAGAAACGTGAGTAATCCCAGGGCAGACGGTTGCCAACTTAACGATTGTTCCACTTATGATTTTTGACTTTACAATGGTGTGGAAGCGATATGCTTTCAGTAGAAACTGTACTTTGAATCTTAAGCTTTTCCAGGGCTAGCGATACTCTATGCGGTACGACACTCTCTCGTGACGCTGGGTAGCGGCAGCTCCCAGTCAGCCCCACGATCACGAGGGTAAACCACCGATACACGTACGACCATTCTGCACCCATAAACCACTCTGTTTCTCACTTTTGGTACAGTATTCAACAAATTACATGAGATAGTCAACACTTTATTATAAAATAGGCCTTGTGCTAGGTGATTTTTCCTGACTTTAGGCTAATGTAAGTGTTCTGAGTATGTTTAAGGTAGGCTGGGCTGTTATAATGTTTAGAAGGTTAGGAGCATTAAATGCAATTTTGACATGATATTTTCAACTAATAATGGGTTTATCAGGATGTAACACCATTGTAAGTCAAGGAAGATCTATATTGTAAAACTACCATCCCAATCCTCAATAGATGGACATGTTTGTAAAATACGACCTGAACATGCAAAAAAGGACAGGAAAAAGTACAGTGATGTTAAAAAACATCAAGTTATTTAACCTGGGTTACCTGTGTGTGGGGGGCCAGGGGCAGGAGAGAGAGGAGGGAAGGAAGTAGAAAGACAATAAAATGTCTCTCTCCCTCCCATCCCCAGCATGTATATTGTCTCATTTGTGTAGAATTGTGCATGCATATACGTGTGTGCACGCACGCACACACACACTAGCAGGAAGGGAAGGTCAGAGGTAGAACTATGTATAATAACTTGTAGGGATTTCCAAATTATATTGCCAAGTGAAAAGAAGTTGAAGGTCTTATGTAAAGAGGCTCATTCTATTTGTGTAGAAACAACAAATTCCCCATATTCTTATATGTGTTTAAGACAGTGCATATGCTGGTTAATTTTTAATAATCTCAAGGGTGTGGTACTGGAAAGACAGCTGAGGTGAACAGTGTGGAGAGAAAGAGATGTGTGTGTATAATATCATCACTTTTTATTACAAATGGATATTACTTTTTGAATTTGAAAAAGAAGAAAACAACAACAAAGGGCAGTAATTAAGATTTCCTTGAATTAAAAAAAAGAGCTCAGAGCAGAGCTACAAACATCCAAGAAATAGTTATGGCAACAGGCAGAATTTGAAAATTAGTTGGCCAGAGAGGCCCACTACAAACAGCAAAGAGATTCTCTCAGAAAGAGATTCTCAGGAATAAAACATAGTAGAAAATTGCAAAGAGTTAAAAGGAGAAAAAAAAAGAGTTAGAAAACTAATAGTGATAACAGACAAAGGAGATCCAACATGTGAATGACTGGCATCCCTGACACACTGTGCCACAGGCTTTTATCAAGGCTGACACCAGACACTGAGAACGGAGGGAAAGACAGGTAAATATATTTTCCTAAAACAAAGTCTAAATACTGAATGGACATAAAGAGCTCCCAGAAAAAAAATTTTTTTCTGCTTTTTCTCTCAAAATCCCCCAAGTAGCTAGCTGTATATTTTAGTTGTGGGTCTTTCTAGTTGTGGCATGTGGGACGCTGCCTCAACATGGCCTAATGAGCGGTGCCATGTCTGCGCCCTGGATCTGAACCAGCGAAACCCCAGGCCGCTGAATCGGAGTGCGTGAACTTAACAACTCGGTCATGGGGCCGGCCCCTCCAAGAAAAATTTGATACAAATGATCAATAAGTAGAAATATCCTAGTACATTGTACTTCAGAGATTAAGAGTCCTTTGGGCATTTAGCTTCCCCCTTCACCACCACCACCAAACAAACAAACAAAAAAACAACCAACAGTTTACACATGGATTAGAAAGATTACTCTTGTGCATGAACAAAAAGGAAAACATATAAATTAATTCAGGTATTCCAAAACATTTTTCACATTCTTTCTTTTGTGTGCATCACCCTTTAATCCAGTCATTAGTGTGTGTGTTTTCTCAGAAAATGTGGTCTTTATGCTGTTAACGGCAATGATGATGAGCATTTCAGTAATGAGCACCCCACCATTGTCTGTGGAAGGTTCTTGTTTGATACCCATTAAGCAAGTTTGATGCTGATGCTCTCCTGGTCAATGGAAGTATCAATGGAAGGTTTTCAGTTCTCAATCAGGACTTAATTTTGTTCTTCAAGTGGTCCTTACATGGTTTTTTGACTAAAGAGTAGCACCATTTTCCAGTCTTGTCACCACGAATGTAACCAAATTTGCACATGAATAGGCTTACAGTTATGCTCTATAACAGGTTGACTCCTCGAAGGCAGACATGGATATTATGTACCCATGTGGTACATCATATTATTTCTTCAAAATATTCGCTATCCCTCCCTACGACAGGATATATCTTCTATGGCCACTGACTCATGCTTGTCACATGACTATCCTTGGATAATGGAAGGTGGTAGAAGTGAAGGGTGTCACTTCCTAGCAGAAGTTTTAAGAGCCGTCACGTGGTCCTCATCTTTCTTTTTCCTCTCCTGTAAGACCAACGTGCCCCACATAGGGTCTGCTCCTTTAGCCTGGGTCCTGGAAATGAAGACAACATGGAGTATGGCCAAAATTGGCCCTCGTTAAACACAAAATATGATTGAAAAATAAACTTGTAAGCCACCAAGGTTTTTGAGTTATTTGTTACTGCAGCACAGTTCAGCATAAGCTGACTCGAATAACTCTAAGATACACGGGATTTAAAACCTAGCTTTGGAATGGTCTAGGCACTCTCCTGAAGGACTCCTGATTTCTGCGGGACTTCCTCAGGGCAGGCGATGAGCGGGTGATATGTGACTGGTCCTCTTCCACCTGAGATTCACGTTTAGGCTATTTCAGCTCAGCCAGGGTGAAAGCAGAGACCTCACCTGAGATGTTCTTAAAGTGGGTCACTCTGGATTACTCAGAGACTCACACTAATAAGTATGGCTGAGTCACAGCCCAGTTGTTGTGAGCCGTCATTTATACCTGAATTCTGGTTAAATGTCCTGAAATTCTAAGGTCAGAAGACATTTGCGGGACTGGAGACAACACCTCACTTTGGGTCACTATAGTAGTTCTCAGCGGGGACGGGGCTGAGGAGGGGAGGAAGATGCTCTAGATCTGAAGGGTGCACTCCTGTGTTTCTTCTTTCCAGTTAAAGCTGACTCCATGATGGAAGTATCAATCTGTGGAGAATACATTTTTTTTCTCCCCAAAGCAGAAAGTTCAGCATCTGTACTTAGAGTTCTGTTGGAGAAGTGGCTGAACTCAGAGTTCGTCAGGGATCCAAGTGCAGTTCAGTGTTGATGGCTTCAACAATTCACAGCAGGTCTTCAAAGAAGACAGGCTGTGGTTCCCTCCTGGGATGACCTCCCCGGGACCCACGGCAACAGTGCTGGTAGGAAGTAGAATGAAAGAGTTAGCTGAGGTTTAGAAGATGGGAAGGACAGATGAGCAGAAGATGACAGTTAAAAATAGCACAGGACAGGATGCTCATTTTCCCCCTCACACTCAGGTTACAGTGGGTTAAGGAAAGAGGCACCAAAGAATTAGTTTTGACTCTCAAAGCCTGTTTGGCCTCAAGGACTCCACCTATTTCCTCCAGAATAAACAAAGAAAGGATAGAACTAATCCTTATAAAACACTTGCACATTAAGAAGGGCAGATGGGGTGGGGATATTGATTTTGCAAATAGAAACTGTACAGGGAGGGGGTGGTCGGCATGGGGCACTGGCAGCCCCTCATCCACCATGGCCCGTCACCATCACCGTGTTGTCAGGACAGCCTGCATTGCTTGACCCCCTTGAAAGGGAGGCAGCACCTAGTAACTAGTACTAGAGTCTCCCCAAGCCCTGATTTTATATAACGCTTAAAAAAGCAACAGTGCCTAACTTACACTGTGTCTGCAAGGTGTGAGCGAGCTGATTCACACCAAGTGCCTAACACAGCGGGAGCGTGTGAAATGCTTGAGTGACACTGGATGGCTATGGGTCCCAGTCTTAGCCGAGAAACCTCAAAATGAAAGGCGGTTAGAATTGCCACAGGCATTCTTATATTTAAATAAAGTATGAGTTATGAAGTTTAAAAATAAGTAGAAGAGTTCTTTAGGTCTGATTTTTAAATTAATGATGGATATAAAGAGGTTATAGCAAATACAATACCTGCTCAGTAGGCTCTGACAACATGACGCCACATCAGTTGTGTTTTGAGATAAGCTGGAGGCGAAGGTGTTCTCTAAAATGTGATGGCAGGTGATGTCTACAGGAGTGCTGGAGAGGATGCCTAGAAGTGGGACAGAGCACCACGGATTTTATTAATTCAGGAGGTCACTGAAGCCTCCTTCTGTTCTCAGCTTCTCCACCGCGCTCCACACATTTCACTTCATGACATGCTTAACACGGCTCTGCCTCTCAGCTCTCTGCACAGCATATGCTGCAGGTGCAGGTTAGAAGCACGGACCCCTGAGAGCTGTGGGCACAGGGACACAGGACACAAAGAATGGAAGCAGTACCTGCGATGCAGGCGGTCATGAAGCAGGCGACGGTCCCCGCAATCAGAGCTCTCACTGCCCCTGAGGCAATGTCACGCTTCCTCGAAGGAGCCATGGATGCTGGAAACATGGAAGCAGATATGAGGTTAATGTTGAGGCTTATTGATTAGAATTCCAAATTCCCAGCCTCTGAGCATTGTTCTGGGGCTGGAGTCTCAGATCAGCTGACTTTCCCTTTTTTTAAACTTAGGTTGGAAATCTAAGATTCATGAGCTTAGTGATGAGTTCCACATCCAGAGAAGTTCCCTGGTGTGGCAGGAAAAGAAGAGTGTCCACACCTAGAGGCTCAGAGGCTTCCATTCTCTGCAGAAGAAAAAAATACAAAGTTTCATCCAAAGGGCGCACACAGCATGTTGAGGGCACAGGAAGGCAAATGCCTCGCAAGGGAGGATCCCAAACATCTGCAACTCATCTGTCACCATCCACGTCTGTGCCCATGGCAGACATCACTCACTAATCACAGCGTTTTCCCACTTAACTTCCATTGGACTTCAGAATCCTTCTCCACGTGGCTGTTATAAGTCTATTGGAATTGGCACGTGAAGTGAAAGCCTTGTGTCATCCCTGGCTGGAGAGGCACCTGTGCATTTGGGCAAATTCTTCCCGATGTTAGCTTGGGTCCACACAGGGAAACTACACTGCAGAGCAGGGATAACAAATAGACCACAACAGATTTACTGCTCTTGCAGGGGCTTCTTTTCCCAACATGAATAACCTTACAGAGCAACATGCAGATCTGAAGCATGTTTACAGCACATCTGCTGTTGAAGAATATTATTTTCACTTACTTAGTCCACCAATCACTATTCCTAGGGAACCAAAATTGGTAAAGCCGCAGAGAGCGTAAGCGGCGATTGTCTCAGAACGAATCTGTAAATAAGCATAAAGACACAGATGCATACACGGTGTGACCAAGTTAGTAAATCTGACATCCTAACTGGGCTTCCTATTCTGATGATGGAATCAATACTGGCAAATAAGTGCACAGTGCACGGTGTCAAACACCTGTTGCTTCCTAGACTCTTTTTTCCATTTCCCCTTGAATTTGGATGGAGAGAAAGGGGCTGTGTGGATTCAGAGACTCTCTACAAAGGACTTGGAATTGGTAATCTTGGCCTCTACAAATGCTGCTTTCTGCTTAATGACAACTTTTAATATTCAGTGTGGCCTGGTCACATTGAATGTGCTACAATGTGCCAGGCACAGGACTAGCTGCTGAAAATACAAAATTATTCCCAGAAAATATTCACATTACACTTATTTGACAAAGACTTATTCAGAATGCATGAAGAACTGTTATAACTCAATAATAAGAAAAGTGACTAATAAATGAAGGGATTTCACAAAAGACATGCAAATGGCCAACAAGCACATGAGATGATGTTTGACAGTGTTTATCACCAGGGAAATGCAAATTAAAACAATGAGATACCATTACACATCCACTAAAATAGCTATAAACTTGGGCAATGTGAAGTATTGGCAAGAACATGGAGAAATTTGAACTCTGGTACATTTTTGGTGAGAATGTAAACTGACAGCCCGTTCGTAAAACACAAACTTGACAGCTTCTTCTCAAGTTACCATCCACTGCCCGCATGACCCAGAAGTCCACTCCCAGGAATTTTCCCAGGAGAAATAAAGACCTGTGCCCACAAAGGCTGTCCATGAATATTTACAGCAGCTTTACTCCTAATAGTCCCACGCTGGAAATGACCCAAATGTTCTTCAACAGGCAAATGGATACACAAATTGTGGATATCCATAAAAGAGAATACTACTGTGCAATAAAAAGGAAAAGAACTAATACATGCAACAACATGAATGGTAAGTGAGGCCATTCATAGGAAATTCTAGAAGAAGCAAAGATAATCTATGGTGAAAGAAAGATCAGTGGCCGCCTGGGTGGGACTGGGTTGGGGTGGGGGTGGGGGCTGTTGACGACAACTGGCCATGAGGAAGATTTTCCAGGTGAGATGGAAATGTTCTATATCTGATCGTGGTCATGGTTACACAGGTGAAACATTTGTCAAAACTCACATGTCCAACAAAAATGAGCCGTTTTTATATGTAAATTATACTTGAGTAAAAATGATATAACGTAAAATGAATTATTATTATAATTATTTTTTAAGATTGGCACCTGAGCTAATATCTGTTGCCAATCTTTCTTTTTCCTTCTTCTTCTTCTTCAAAGCCCCCCAGTACGTAGCCGTATATTCTGCTTGTAGGTCCCTCTGGTTGTGGCATGTGGGATGCTGCCTCAGCATGGCCTAATGAGCGGTGCCATGTCTGTGCCCAGGATTCAAACCAGCAAAACCCTGGGCCACCAAAGCGGAGTGCACGAACTCAACCACTGGGTAACGGGGCTGGCCCCCTGTAAAATGGAAGCTCACAGCTATCACAGGAGTCCCCTCCGTCTGGCCGTGGGGTGTGCTTGCCTTTCTTTGCTCCTCAGCTCTGACCAGCCCATAGGAACATGAGGTGCCCCTTGGAAGTAGGAGAACGGACTGTCCTCTCACAGGGCTGTGAGAGGATGGAAGGTGAATTCGTCCAAGTGTGAGTGCGGCCCTCCGCCTCTACTCTGAAGGCAAGAGGCGCAGATTGTTCTTTCTCAGGGTGAGGGGCCGACTACAGAGGCTTGGAAGAGCCAGGGCACTTCACTGTTCACCGGAGTAACACCCAATCTGGCAAAGGCACCCTCACAATTGAGGCAACAATTATTTTCCCCCAAAATCCTGAAAAATCTATGATTTGGTTCAAAGGACAAACCTGGTCAATGCTACATTCAAAACTGGAGGTGCCTTTTTTTTTTCTTTTACTAACTGGATTTTTAAAGCCCACATTCAAGAGTCAAGTGGTCACAGTAAGTTTTTGTTGATAAGGTCCCTCTTTCAATGGTTTCTGAGAACTCCTTTTTGGAAAATATTTCAAGTATTTGAGCAGTCCACTGTTTCTGGAATAGCTCATCCTCGTCCTCTGCTCTGTCTAGTGCTTTTCATTTAGTTCAATTGGCTTCAAGGCAAGCTTATTAGGAGACCATGGGGAGGGAGAGGGCGTGAAGTGCTCAAGAGTCCTCTTTCTCCTTCTGGGGATCTGCGGAGGGCGCACACAGATGGGGACACGAAGGGTTTTATAAGAAGAGGGAAAGGAGGCTGGGATGATTCCTCTTTGTCTTTGCCCAGAAATGTGCAAGACTACACGATGGAAAGAAGTGCAGTAGGAAATTAAGAGAACATCCTACAGCTCTCCTTGCACGTGAGCAAAGATGCCATATGCACAGGGACGGTCACTGTAGCACTACTTCCAATAGCAAAAAGTCGATAAGAGTGCTCATCAACAGGGGACTGGCTAAAATAGATTATGGTGTGCTTGCAGATAGAATACGGTGTCACAGGCACTGGTACGGAAAGGCATTTGAGTTGTTATTAAGAGCAAAGACCCAGGCTAAGAGCAGCGAGCATAATACGGCACAGGGAGAGGAGCTAGTGCCAGAGAAATAGGGAGGATGACTCACTTTTCCCTCTACACCTTTTTCTACCTTTTGAATTCTGTGCCATGAAATGTATTACACGTAAACAAACAAACAAACATGCAAAGTACTATCTTTAAGAAAGAGAAAATGGAGCAATATAAAATACGACATACACACTCTGACCTCTTACCTCAGATAGAGGTCAGCAGTGGCCCAATTCAATGGATAACACAGGGTTTTTGCCTATGGACCCAGATCTTACACTTCAGTCATGTGGTACCTTTTCCGGGAGACTACTGGGACACCCCCTCCACTTTTTGGTTGGTAAACAGAAATTGCAGGGACTCATCCCAATTTTGTTGATTAGAAATGAGAAATTGGGGAAAAAAATGCTTTTCCCATTGTGAGACAATAACAGAAGCCATTGAGCTCATATTCCTAAATGGCCTGTGTGCACCTGCCCCTGGACGGGCCCACCCCCAACCCGAATTAGCTCTACTGGCCTGTCTCTCTCCTCTTACTAACCTGCTCACAAACCTGCTCAGCACTGCCAGACCTGTGAGCTTGCTTTGCTCGTTAACAAAAGTATTTTCTCCTGGCAACTGGCAGCTGGGAATGAAAAACATTGCACTTAATTGAGCCTACGGTTTACTTTTGGCAGGGAAGCAAGGTGCTTTGTGGTGGCCTCCAGACAATGAGGAGACTTGGCCAAGACCCACTGTGTGGTCGGCTGAAGAATGAACATTTGAGAAACAGGAGACCTTACAGAGCCACTGTGCACATCAGATGCATGGGTCAAATGCCCTGATTAGAACATACAAGTCAACACTCTCCTGGGGTGTGCTGTTATTTAGTGTAACACGTGGGAGTAAATGTGCGTGTTTGGTCTTTGGGAGGTTGGAGAGTGGGGGCTGTTCAGAGGTGGGCCATCTCAGAAGCTTGGACAGCATGCTTTCCCTCCACATTCCTTTTAAAGCCCAATATGTGCCTAGGACATTAATTCTAAATGGATTGTTTCCAGGAGTAATGGTGGTGGTCAGAAATGTTCACCATTTCCCTGGGAGTTTGTGTGTGTGACAATTCTGTTCTGTAGGAAAATAGAAGCTGGAGACTCAGCTGCAAATATGGCCCAAGAAAGAGCCTCAGCTGAGCTCCCTTATCCCATCCAAGGCCAAGGGGACATGAGCATCTCCTTGCAGGCTATTGACCTGAAGTCCTGACATAGTTCTAGGGCGCTTGTCTCAAAGGTTCATACCACAGACCCTGTGCTTCTTCTCTTCCCTCATCTACGTGGAGAGCAGCGATTGTGTCTCACTACTTCGTTAGGATGTCCAGGCTCTAGGTTGCATTTAGGCAGTTTCTCAAAGTCCATAGAATTCCTTAAGCTGAAAGGAAGAGAGCTTCCTGATCATTAGACTCTGAGCCCCACGAGGGCAGAGGCCTCATCACTTGTTCAACGCTGTGGCCTCAGTTCCTGGGTATGTTGCACATAGAAGGCACTCACTATTGTTGATGGATTGATTCCAGTCTCAGCCCATATGACTCCAGGTTTGGATCCACAGTGCCCAACAGTAAATGATCACAGTGGTAAAGATTAGCTGTGCTTTTAAACACACACACACACACACACACACACACACACACACACAATGATTAATTCAATGTAACTGAGAATTATGAGGTGCTGTGTTCATTATGAGCTACATGAACTCTGGGATTTGGGGTCTGTTTTATTCTCTGATTTATCCCAACTGTGTGGCCTGACAATCAGAGTCACTAGTAACCATTTGATGGGTGTATATATGTGGTAAAGAAGTGCACTGAAAAACCAAAATATTTACTCACCGATATATATTGCTGGACACCATCCACAAATTTGGGTCCAGCCTATTTCCTTAAATGCACCAATTTTGAGAGGTGCTCATAAGCCACAAATTCATTGAAGAAGGTCTTATAACCTATGAGTTCGCCAACCATAAAGCTGTCTTGCCAGTCCACTCCCATCATGAAGGAAAAGGGCATGAAGATGTAGGAGCATATTATCTACAAAAACAAAAAATAGATACTTTATTAGAGTAGAGATTTGCTCCCATTCTTCTGCCTCACTCTCATGATGAGATTGTTCCCACCCCTCTGTCTCCTGTAGACACAGAAATCCCTTCACATGCCCTCGTCCATCTTCGTTCATTAGAAGTCAAGCTTGGGAATAGTCACATGAAGTGACCTGGATTCTTGGGATGGAGAGAATGACGGTATGTTGGTGGACGCAGGGTGACGGAAGACAGAGAAAGAGCTGTGGGAAGATAGGGGATACATGAGAGGTTTGTGCTTGTGTACGAGCGCACTGGAGGCAGTTAGGGAAGGCAATTCACAAACCTATTTTATTTTTAAACAAAGATGGGCAGAAACAAAATGGAGGAGAAACGTGATAGAGTATACCTCGAAACTCAGCTGTGAGTAGTCAAACATGTTTCCAAACCAGGACAGGGCTGGGTTCACAAAAGACAACGGGGCCAGGAAGGCAATCTGATTCACAGCGATGTTTGCCACCAGGGAGATGGATGCAGATGCTCCCTGTGATGCTGTTTCTAGGAGATTCCTCGAATCACTTTATCAAAAAATAGCAATGGCAGAATTAACAAGGAGCTGTCAGCAGATAGACATCACAGGTGTAGATATGGGGAAATCAGAGCTCATTCGGATGGAGAGACAAACTCTCAGGCCCATGCCTTGGTCAAAACCCTCACCTGGATTCCATGAAATCATGATGGGATTTATAATTACTGAGTGCAGGTGATGGGCATATGGGTGTCTGTTATACTACTCTTTTAATTTGGGAACATTTATAACTAAAAAGTTGGGAAAAGATAAAATATTATAGGCTTCAAAAATTATATCTAATTAAAAGTAGCTACCAGAGAATATTTATAAAATATTCATGGAATGAGCAATAATAATTCAAGGAAGCTCTGAACATCCATCACCTAAGAAATGGAAGGTCACCCTCATCTTTGGGCCCCTCCCCACCAGTGCCCTTCCTTAATCTCATCCTCTTTAATCTGAGGTAACTGGCTCCCTAGAATTTGCTTCTCATTCCCTTTCTTGTCAATTTCCCTATATGTCTGCATGCCTAAATAATATGCTGTGTAGGTTCACACATATGCTAACTTTATAAGTGGAATCACACATATTCCATATATACATTTTCTTTGACAACTTGCTTTTTCATTCATGTTTATGACTTTACCCACATACAAACAAGGGGTGAATCTCAGAAACATGTTGGTTGACGGATTCTGTTATTTAATGAAATGCTTTTGAACATCCTAAATTCCTTAGTGTTTAGAGCAAAAGAAAATGAACTGAAGAGGGGTTAAAGATACCTATATCACAGCTTCTTTTCCTATCACACAAGAGACTTCCAGAAATGATCACCCTATGGCTTTGCAACAGTCCTAAATCAAAGCTCAATGAACACTACAATATATTTAAAATATCTACACTGAAGTCAAGGAAATGTAATAATATTCAGGTATTTAGAAAGGTTATCAGCCAAAGCAATCTTGAGAAAGAAAAACAAAGCTGGAGGCATCACACTCCCTGATTTCAAACAATACTACAAATCTATAGTAATCAAAACAGCATGGCACTGGCACAAAAACAGACACGGAGATCAATGGAACAGAATAGAGAGCCAAGAAATAAACCCCTGCTTACATGGTCAATTAATCTATGATGAAGGAGGCAAGAATATACAATCGGGAAAAGATAGTCTCTTCAATAAAAGGTGTTGGGAAAACTAGACAGCTACATGCAAAAGAAGGAAACAAGGCTGCTTTCTTACACTATACACAAAAATAAACTCAAAATGAATTAAAGACTTAAATGTAAGACCTGAAACCATAAAACTCCTAGAAGAAAACATAGGCAGCCAGCTCTTAGACATTGGTCTCAGCAATATATTTTTTTTTTAGATTTTATTTTTTCCTTTTTCTCCCCAAAGCTCCCCCTTACATAGTTGTATATTCTTCGTTGTGGGTCCTTCTAGTTGTGGCATGTGGGACGCTGCCTCAGCTTGGCTTGATGAGCAGTGCCATGTCCACACCCAGGATTCGAACCAGCGAAACACTGGGCCACCTGCAGGGGAGCATGTGAACTTAACCACTCGGCCACGGGGCCAGCCCCGGTCTTAGCAATATTTTTATGGACCTGTCTCCTCAGGCAAAGGCAGCAAAAGCAAAAATAATGGAAAAAAAATGGAATTACATCAAACTAAAAAGGCTTTTCACAATGAAGGAAACTATCAACAAAACGAAAAGGCAACCTACTGAACGGGAGAAAATATTTGCAGATGATATATCAGATAAGGGGTTAATACACAAAATATATAAAGAGAACTTACACAACTTACTAGGATACAAACAAAAAGTCCAATTAAAAAATGGGCAGATGATCTGAACAGACATTTTTCCAAAGACATACAAATGGTCAACAAACACGTGAAAGTTGCTCAACCTCACTAGTCATCAGGGAAATGCAAATCAAAGACACCATGAATATCACCTCACATCTGTTAGAATGGCTATTACCAAAAAGACAAGAAATAACAAGTGTTGGTGAGAATGTGAAGAAAACGGAACTCTCATACAGTGTTGGTGGGAATATAAATTGGTGCAGCTACTAAGGAAAACAGTAGAGAGATTCCTCCAAAACTTAAAAATAGAACTACCATATGCCACAGAAATTCTACCTGTGAGTATTTCTTCAAAGAAAATGAGAACATTAATTCAAAAAGATATATGCACCCCTGTGTTCATTGCAGCATAAGTTACAATACCCAAGATGTGGAAGCAACCTAAGTTTCCATAGATCAATAAATGGAAAAAGAAGTTGTGGTATATATTTACAATGGAATACTACTCAGCCAGAAAAAAAAAAATCTTGCCATTTGCAACAACAATGATGGACCTAGAGGGCGTTATGCTAAGTGAAATAAGTCAGACAGAGAAAGACAGATACTGTGCGATTTCACTTATATGTGGAATCTGAAAAACAAAACAAATGAGCAAACATAACAAAACAAACAAACCCATACAGAGAACAAACTGGCGGTCACTCGAGGGGAGGAGCGTGGGGGACGGGCAAAATAGATGGAGATTAAGAGGTACAAATTTCCAGGCATAAAGAAGTCACGGGGATGTACAGCATAAGGAATACAGTCAATAACAGGGTAATAATTTTGTATGGTGACAGACGGTTACTAGACTTGTTGTGGTCATCATTTCGTAATGTATGTAAATATCGAATCACTATGTTGTACACCAGAAACTAATACTGTATGTCAACTATACGTCAGTGAAAACAAAAAGGTTTTCAAGGGTTGAACAAGACTTTTCGGAGTGAAGTCTAACAGTCAGCGGGATATTAAATTCACTTTAATACCATAATTCACTGTGCTCTTTGTCAAATTTTGCTGTTCTTTGAATGTGGACCCGTTCACTGCCCCCGCCCCCTGCGCCCCCAGCTTGTATAGTCATTAGTGAGGTGAACGAATCTCACTTACCCCATTTCCATTTCCATGGCATTCTTCAGGGTTATTTTAGGTGTTTCTGTCTCAGGCCAAAGGAGTTTAGCCATAGCCAATGACGCAGGCGCTGACATAACTGAAGCAGTTAATATGTGGGTGGGTGAAATCTGTGATTTTAGGAGAAAGAAGGTAACTTAGGTTTAGCTTTTCTGTTGTGTTCTGAAAGAATGGCCCAAAAGCCTCACTAGGGAAGAGAAGGGCAGGAACTGTGTCTATGCCAGAAAACAGTGTTTCTTTGGAGGCTTGGAGGAACTCAGGGAGCCAAGTTGGCATCACCGTGACAGTCAGAGGGAGGAGGGAGGAATTTGTGTGAATTGACCACATCCCTGGAGAAAGGCACAAAACCAAAGTCGGATCATTTCCCTTTTTTTTTTTTCAGATTGGCACCTGGGCTAACAACTGTTGCCACTTTTTTTTTTTTTCTGTTTTATCTCCCCAAACCGCCCCGTACACGGTTGTTGCAGTTGTACACATCTTAGTTGCAGGTCCTTCTAGTTGTGGGATGTGGGATGCCACCTCAACGTGGCCTGACAAGCGGTGCCATGTCCGTGCCCAGGATCCGAACCCTGGGCCGCCACAGTGAAGCACGTGAACTTAACCACTTGGCCACGGAGCCGGCCCCAGTCCGATCATTTCAAAAGAGATTTAATCCTGTGCTGCAGGAGCTTTCACAGATCCCTCCACCTCTCTGTGGTCCTTTGGAATTTTCAAATAGTCCCTAAATCCCATATTTCATTACATCATCAATTTAGATGGGGATGTCTGGGGCTGTGGGCATGGATACAACCCTCTCGTCTTCCTTGTGCTTTTCTGAAAGTTTGTGCCTTTACGTTGTAATACTCATTTATGCCGAGTTCCTCTGATCTGTGAGCATCTCTGCTCTCCTCACTGCAGGTCTACTTAAACTCTTTCCCCTCCCCTCCACACATCCTTATTGTTTCTGGATCCTCTTCCCTATCTTTTCAGAATTCCAGAATCAGCACCACCCCCATGCCCATTCCACCCAGCACATTTCTGCAGGCGGCGTTCCCACAGTGGTGGCAGAGTGGATCATCTGGGGATCCAGTGACAGTGCTGTTCCTGAGGTCTCCTTCACCCTTTTCCTCTTCCTTCTTCCTGCTGATCGGCTTCCAAGAAACAGATGAAGTCCTGGAGTGAAACTCGCCTATCTTGTAAGAACGCCCAGTCGCCTGGGTCACAGGGCTGCTGTTGATCCCATTTCTCCCATGGGGGTGGCATCTATGTGTGGCTTGTCAGCTCTGTACTTGGGGCACATGCGCCAGTTACCATAAGGCTCTCCATCCCTATGCTATTGACCACCAGCTCTCAATGGGCTGTACATTGGAATCTGAGGAGTTAAAAAAAATACTGATGCCTGGGTATCATCCTAAGAGGTTCTGGTTTAATTACTCTGGGGGATGGGCCTGGGTATTGGGGCTTTTAAAGGCTCCCAGGTGACTCTAAAGTGCAGTAAGGTTTGAGAACCACTGCTCTAGGTCAGGGTCAGATAACTGTTTCTGTAAAGGGCCAGAGAGTAAATATTTTTGGGTTTTTGGAGCCACAGCTACTTAACTCTGTAGCATGAAAGCTGACATAGAGAAACAAATAGGAGTAGCCGGTTTTCAGTGTAATTTCAGTTATAAGAAAAGAGGAATTATCTGGAATTGGCCCATGAGCCATACTTCGCTGACCTCTGGTTTAGATTGCCTTTACTAGTGTAATAGGTTGTTTTTGTACAGATTTATATTTTCAGCCAAAGTAGCCTCATAATATGATGTATTCTGCTGTGGTTGGATATGATTCACATTTAGGTGGCAGGGATATAAAAGTGAAGCCCCAAAGCTCCTTTGGGGACTCCATTCAAATGCCAAAGGAACTGTGACCAGCCATCCAGCAAAAAGGACACTCTTTTGGCCTCCTTATCCAGCAGCAATGGCAAAGAAAAAAAAGAAATGACAATAGCAAAGAGTTTGTATTTTCCATAAAAGAATTTGTATTTTCCTTGAATTGATCCCCAACTATTCTTACCCCAAAAGAAATGTATGCGCCTAAGACACTTCCAGCGATGGTAGAGAACCCAGCGGTCATGATTGCATGCAGTTCGGACCTGGTGACGTGTGGTAAATATGGCCGGACCAGCAGTGGAGACTCCGTCTGGAAACAGAGAGTGAGCAGATTGTGTTCCCTTTTAAGTCTTAGGAGAGTATGCCAATCTACTCAAAATTCCATCCTCTAAAACAGTATTTCTAAGAGAGGACCTCAGACCAGCTCCATCAGCATCACCTGGGAACTCCTTAGACATGCAAATTCTCAGACTTACTGAATCAGAAACTCTGGGGGTGGGGCCAGCAATCCTGTTTTAATAGCTTTCCAGGTGGTTCTGATGCATGCTGGAGTTTGAAAGCCTACACCCTACCTGTCTGGGTCATTTGAACTCTAGGTGAGTGTGCATACTGAATCATGCATAAAGTTTGCAGAGTGTGCAAGGCTAATTCACACAAGGCCCCCACTTAGCCTGGGACTGGACTCTGCTGGCTGGGGACACTTTTCTAAGGTTGGAACACCATTGGCCAAGTAACTCTGCCCAGTGGCCTGGCCTTGAGAACTGGTGATTCCCAAGCCTCTGTGACTTCCCATCTTCCAGCTTCATCTCGACAGACCTTAAACCTCTTTGCTGATACTACAGGGAAACAGACACACAAGCATAAAACAAATAGCGAGGACAGGTACCCAGAGGCTTTTCCCTAATTGAGAATCAGAGACCCCTTCTTGCCCTTGGGTGGAAAGGAATCAGATAGCCTGTAGTTGTAAAGGCTTGAGTCCCCTCAAGTAGTGCAGGTGGCCTGCAGCCTGGGGCTCTTCATAAATAATAGCTGAACTTTAGCATATTAGGTATCAAATTGAGCATGTGTGCAATTTTACAATTTTCCCCTATTATTTCTAAATGTTCTGTAAGAGTGAATGTGTTGAGCGTCAATTTATGGACTGAATAGAAATTCAGTACATGAGCCCTCTTACCCCGAAGGTAGGAGGAATCAACTCAAGATGGTGCCCTAATTAGTCCAGAGAGATCTTATGACTGTAATTATAATAATTTGAACTCCTAGGGAAGGAAGCATGGGCCCTGCTCTGAAGCCCTTGCTCCAGGTTAGCAAGCTGGGCTGGCCGAGTAGAAGGCTCAGCTGCCTGGAGCAGTCGTAAGCCTGGGATCCGGGGCCATGTGTTTTTCTGGGTGACTATTTTTGCTTCAAATCCAACTTCCTTGGGCAGCCATGCTAGCGAGCACTCACACTTGGTTTCCTTGCTATGTGACTCCATTCTGCCTGGAACTCCATGTGCAGAGTGAGGAGGATGATTATGACTATTTCTCACTCATCCGCCCCTTAGGAATGCCACTATTTTGAGAGACACTCCTTTTGCATCACATTTCTTTGCTTAAATGGACTTCAGGCAAAAGAGCATTTAACCATGGGATGGATCAGGGAGTGAAAATGCTTTTACTTGTCAGCACTGTTCCTCAGGCTCAGCAAAGACAGACTGTTGGCCAGTTCAGACAAGTTAAGAATGAACTCAGGTATTTATACAGCTGCATGGTTGTAGGTGGGAGCCTTTCCTGGTCTCTTTCATCGCCCCAGCCTTACACTACAGCAGGTGAGGCTGCCTGCTACGGGTTTGCAGGCTCAAGATTGTGGTGAACTCCATGTGAGTGAATGAGCTGCTCGCCTCTGAAGGGTGAGCCAGAGGCCTCAACAATTCTATAAGTTCAGAAAAGATTGGTTGAGAATCTCTGCATGAGAAGTCTGATGCTTTGACAAAATGCCTCAATCTTTCGTCATCTCCATCAAATTTCCAGAACCCCACCTAGAAGAAATGGATAAATTCCTAGACTCTTACAACCTCCCCAAACTGAATCAGGAAGAAATAGAGAATCTGAATAGACCAATAACAAGTAAAGAAATAGAAACAGTAATCAAAAACCTCCCCAAAAATAAGAGTCCAGGACCAGACGGCTTCTCTGGAGAATTCTACCAAACATTCAAAGAAGATTTAATACCTATCCTTCTCAAACTATTCCAGAAAATTGAGGAAGATGGAGCACTCCCTAACACATTCTATGAAGCCAACATCACCCTGATCCCCAAACCTGACAAGGACAACACAAAGAAGGAAAACTACAGGCCAATATCACTGATGAACATAGATGCAAAAATCCTCATAAAAATTTTGGCAAACCAAATACAGCAATACTTCAAAAAGATTATACACCATGATCAAGTGGGATTTATACCAGGGACACAGGGATGGTTCAACATCGCAAGTCAATCAACGTGGTTCACTACATTAACAAAATGAGAAACAAAAACCACATGATCATTTCAATAGATGCAGAGAAAGCATTCAACAAGATCCAGCATCCATTTATGATAAAAACCCTCAATAAAATGGGTATAGAAGGAAAGTACCTCAACATAATAAAAAGCCATATATGACAAACCCACAGCCAACATCATACTCAATGGACAAAAACTGAAAGCCATCCCTCTGAGAACAGGAACAAGACAAGTGTGCCCACTTTCACCACTCTTATTCAACATAGTACTGGAGGTGTTGGCCAGAGCAAGTCGGCAGGAAAAAGAAATAAAAGGAATCCAAATAGGCAACGAAGAAGTAAAACTCTCACTGTTTGCAGACGACATGATCTTATATATAGGAAACCCCAAAGAATCCATAGGAAAACTATTGGAAACAATCAACAGCTATAGGAAAGTTGCAGGGTATAAAATCAACATACATACATCAGTAGCATTTCTATACGTTAACAATGAACTAACAGAAAAAGAACTTAAGAACTCAATCCCATTCACAATCACAACAAAAAGAATAAAATACTTTGGGATAAATTTAACCAAGGAAGTGAAAGATCTATACAACGAAAACTACAAGACTTTCCTGAAAGAAATTGATGACGACATAAAGAGATGGAAAGACATTCCATGCACATGGACTGGAAGGATAAACATAGTTAAAATGTCCATACTACCTAAAGCAATCTACAAATTCAACGCTATCCCAATCAGAATCCCAATGACTTTCTTTACAGAAATTAAACAAAGAATCCTAAAATTCATATGGGGCAACAAAAGACCCCGAATTGCTAAAGCAATCCTGAGCAAGAAGAACAAAGCTGGAGGCATCACAATCCCTGACTTCAAAACATACTACAAAACTACAGTAATCAAAACAGCATGCAGTACAAAACAGGTGCACAGATCAATGGAACATAATTGAAAGTCCAGAAATAAAACCACACATCTATGCACAGCTAATCTTCGACAAAGGAGCTGAGGGCTTACAATGGAAAAAAGAAAGTCTCTTCAACAAATGGTGCTGGGAAAACTGGAAAGCCACATGTAAAAGAATGAAAATTGACCATTCTTTTTCACCATTCACAAAAATAAGCTCAAAATGGATCAAAGACCTAAAGATTAGGCCTGAAACAATGTCTTCTAGAAGAGAAGATAGGCAGTACACTTTTTGACATCAGTTTCAAAAGAATCTTTTCGGACACCACAACCCCTCACATGAGGGAAACAATAGAAAGAATAAACAAACGGGACTTCATCAGACTAAAGAGCTTCTTCAAGGCCAGGGAAAATAGGATTGAAACAAAAAAACAGCCCACTAATTGGGAAAAAATATTTACAAGTTATTCATCCGACAAAGGGTTAATAAAAGTTCATTGTGTCTAAATTATTTTGCAACAACTTTAGCTCTCAGGAGACAGACTCAAACCACCACCCATATCATACAAATCTCTTAATAATGCTAAATAAAAAGAATTTGTAAGTTAAAAAAAAAAATTTCCAGAACCCCAATGCGACATTAATGCACTAACACTCTTGGAAGGGCTCTCTCTCTCTCTCTGTCTCTTTTTTACTTTCTCTGGAATCTGGACTTTGGCAATGTTCAGGGGTCCTTATTTTGACACTGTTCCCTCTACATTAAAAGAAATAAAGCCATCATATTTTTTTATTACACCTTCTGGAAAGACTGTAGATTTTAGCAAGTGTTTTTTGTTGTTTTGTTTTTTGATATTACAACTTACTTGCCCGATGAATATACCGCCGGCTGCAACCACAGATTCAATAGGAGATGATCCCACAGTAACCAGCATGAGCCATCCAACCTAAAAGGGGACAAGGGACAAAGTCAGTGAAGAGCTATTTATATACACAAAGCTTCAGAGTAGGGATAAAATCTTTGGAGGAAAATGCTGAGGCCTTCAACAACTATGGGCAGGACAGCAATGGTGCTAACTGTGAGGACATCTTACCTAGTCCTTAGAGTAGGCCAATCACACCCTCCTATTGAGGGGTAAGTCTGAGTCATTGTACGTACTTTCAACATCATGCGAATGAATTTCCTCTGAAACGTTGTGGACAAGTCGTAAGTTATAATAATTGCTGACAGTAACGGCAGGTTTACTGCGTTCCAGACACTGTTTTGAGCCCTTGATCTGAGTAACACTTTAATCCACACAATAACCCTTTGAGGGAGGTCCTATAATTATGCCCATTTGATAGAAGTGGAAACTGAGGCACAGAACAGTTTAGCTGTTTTGTCAAAAACCACCCAGCTAATAAGTAGTGGCGTGTAGTTGACATCTGGCCTTTTCTGTTTAACATTCAATCAAATACGGTTTATGGTCCTGCTTTCGCAGTGGCCCTTCCAACTGGAGACTGTGGCGCCCACCTCAGGATGGGGACTTCCTGTGGCATTCTTTCTCCTTAGACGTGAGCACAGTAATTCTGAATGTTTTAATCAACAATCAGAAAATTGTGGGCCCTGGCACTCTTGCTGAAACGCTGAATTCTGCCAGTATTCTGGTTCTCTCTCTATATATATTTTATTTATTGACAGGGATCAAAGGAGGGCTGGGCTGTGCCCAAACCCTGTGTGCACGGCCTCACTCTCATGTGCGTTCGAACCAGCTTACACATTTCATAGATTTCTGGTCTAACGTGTGACTGTAGGACTGACAGTTGCTGGGCTAGCAGGAATGAGATTAACTTTTTAGACTTTTTTAAAAATTAGTGTGCTTATAAAACTCCCTCAGGAGTGAAAAGCAGCTTCCCCTTCCTGCTCTGATTCCCTAGCAGCTTCCAGACCACAGCGCCCCCTTTTGCAACATCCTGTGGAAAAGCAGTGACTGCATAAGGCACAGGGTGGTCGCCAAGATGGAGGACAGTGCTGTTCTCCCTGGCAGGTGTGGGACCTGTGGGAGTCAATTCTGTGGCTAAAGAAGTAATTGCTAAGGTGTCATGAAGATATCAGTGGGTTGCAAGTCAAAGCCCTGTCAGAAGTCCCTGAGATAAGCTTCCCTCTAGGGACGCATATAGAATAACTCGGGAGCCAGGGTGGAACTCGGTACGAAGAGAACCCCACTTTGGAAAACCCTAAATAAAAGGTATTGAGGACTTTGTCCCTGAGAGAATCAGCTGTACGCCTGTCACCCATCCCTCTGGTCCCGTACCTTTCTAATGATCCACTGCATCAGTCCTAGGTAGTAGAGCATGGACATGGCGGCGCTGAAGAAAACCATGATTGGCAGGACCTGGGGGAGGAGACGGAAGCAATCGTGGGCTAACGTTGCCCTCAGGAGGATTAGTAGGTTTCAGATCAGTCTCCTTCTTTCTACCTCCTTTTCCTCCTCTGAAACGTCATAAAAATACTGGAAACTCCTCCGGAACTAAACAACACTTTTATCAGGCAGCTGCTGCATCCACAGTCACTTATTTTAATTTGCTTGGATAAGCTTGAGTATATTTCATCGGAAACTTGACATTATTTTTTCCCTCTGCTATAATGATCTTTTCTTCCTTTAGTGTCTCATAGAAGGAATGAAGTTTTGGGGGAATTTGTAATAATTAGGCTCATTAAACTGAAGGCCACTGGCAGATGTCCTTGTTCTGATATTAAATAGCCATGAGCTTCACCACTTATTAGCAGAGTAACCCGGGTCAAGATTAAGTGCCAGCAACCTCAGATCCTTATTCAAAGTGGCTGCACAGATCAGACAGAGCATGGTAGGTCCTCACACACAGTGCCTCCTATGGAGGAAGCATCCACTCTTTGAGCTTTTAGAATGAAATTATTTTACTTACAGACTTTTTAATCACTAAGAAAAGATTAAACTTTGGAAACCAGCTTACTTCTGTGTTCACAAAGGTTGTCCTTTCCTAGATCCTATTTTCCTGATGCTCTTTGGGTTCCTTCAATGCAGCCTGTGTGTCTGCAGGGAGTCGTGTCTCCCCTGCAGAGACCACACAGAGCTGTGGTCTCAGTCCCTCCCCACCCCTACCCCTCCACACCCCTTCCCCTCTGCTCCCCAGCTAAATGGCCAGGGACAAGCTGCCACCAGAGGCTCAGAATGACTGAGGATGATTTGTACAGGATCCAATTTAGAAAACTCTATTAATACTTTATATTAAAAGACACTCTGTGCCATCATTCAGAGCTCACGCACTTACGTGCTTTTGTTGGCTTTAATGGGTGGGCAGAACCTTCCTGAAAGTGTCAGGGAGTCGAAGGGGCTCATCTCTAGAATGTGCCCACAGGGATTCTGTGCTGGCAGAGAGGATGGAGGCCACTGCCCTGGGGGGAGCGGGAGGGAGGGCTGAGACACTGGTGCAGTCTGGGCAGCAAGTCACGCCTTCTTTGTGACTTTATTTTTTCCCATTCTGGATTCAGATCATGATATGAGCATATTTCCATCTCAATTTGTAAACACTTGACCTTTCAGAGATGGCTTAGTTATCTCAGCACCAAAGCATCAAATCAGCAGTTTCAAAACATATCCAGCCTAACAGTTGGCCTAATTGAAACTGGAGTAATTTGGAGGTAAATCTGGAGTCTCTAAGTGAGAAGACAGTTTAGAAGTGTAGGAACAATAATACACCAAAAAAAGGAAAGCTGAAGAAGAAGCCAAATGCATCTTTCTGACTGTCACCAGGCATCTGTAGGGACTTCCCAGAGGGACAGTGACTTCCTGGGGCTTGTGGGAGCCCCATGGGAATCAATGAGGTCCGGGCATGGGGCCAGGTTGCCTTTCCTCTGTAAAATAACATCCCTCTTTGGCTGGGAGAAGGTCCAGCCCCCAGGCCTCCCTAGGCAAAGGCTGTGCTGAAGGAAAATGGGAACAGTTTAGCATGAGGATGGTTCTGGAAGGACAGAGCCTGCTGTGGACGACCAGCTGTCCTGGTTGGCCCGGGACTGAGGGTTTTCTAAGTGCAGACCTGTCACCAATCCCGGACCTAGCAGCCATTGGTGGTCGTATGCCTGTTCATGGCCAGGTACCTAATGATCTTTTCCCTGAAATCTCAGATACTGTTGCCCTGTATGATTTTTCATAAGTATCTCAGACCACGCTACAAGCCCTCCAAAGGTATTCCAATATTTCTGACCCCTCTACATGTTTCCCTTAATGCTATAGTAACAAAGCAAAACATTTGCAATCCACTGACTTCAGATAAAATTGCAATGAGAAAGGACAGTGGTGTGCTGTGCACCTATGATGTGCCCAGCAGCTGTACGCCTGGTTTCTGGTAGTTGGGTCCTATCTGAACATCTACCAAGACTGAGAAGTTACTGAAAAGGACATGGCTCCATAGAAAAGGGTTTGACTTTACCTTAAATGCAAAGAAGTGGTCTGTGTATTTCTCACCAAAGACAAAGGAAGCACCAGCGTCAGTGTGCTCCAGGAAGGTCTGAGTTAAAGAAAGGACAAGAGCAGATCATTATAACCCCTGAGGCAGTGGTTACTGTCCCCAGGACCCACCGCCTCTGCAGAGGGTGAGGACCCAGCAAACTTGTTGGATAGACTTGAAGAGTTAATTTTCTCAGCTTTTCTCCCTCGAGTGGGTGGAAAGGAAGTGTATTTTTCAACTATAACTGTGCACAGACTTTCCAGCATTTCTTTCTTTTTTTTTTTTATGAAGAGTAGCCCTGAGCTAATATCCGTGCCCATCTTCCTCTACATCCATGCCCATCTTCCTCTACTTTACATGTGGGACGCCTACCACAGCATGGCGTGCCAAGCGGTGCCGTGTCTGCACCCAGGATCTGAACCGGCGAACCCTGGGTCGCTGAAGCTGAACATGCACACTTAACCACTGCACCACAAGGCCGGCCCCCATCCAGCATTTCTAACATTCAATCTGACTCTAGGGTGATGAAGAGTAACTTGAGTGTGGCAATTTTCTCCAGAAGCAATAGATGGCACATAGGTGGCACTGCTGACCACTAGATGCAAAGAGAGTCTGTCTCTCTGTTTGTGGAACTGTCTTAGAAGTGTGACACCCCTTGGGCAGGAGGAAGGGGGCAACCGGGATAGGGGAGAGATGTAGTGGATGGTGTGGGTGAGGGGCAACAATAATATTAATCAACTGGACAGATTAACATTTTCCACATAAAATTATTTGTCTAACTCATGCTATGAAGTTACAATTTGGGTCAACTCATGGAGATAAATAAACCTATTTCTGATATATCATATTCAAATGTTGAAAGCACTATAAAAGTAAGATGTTCTTTTGAACCCAACTTACCTGAACTTGTTTGCCCAACCACTGAAAAGCCATAAGTCCAAGGACAGTCCTTAGTATTAAGAGCCCAAGAAGAAACTGTAACCCAATTCCCCAAAAGACAGGCCTCCAGCGAACCCATGCAGAAAGATGGAGAGAGACGTATCTTATTAGAGGATGAATGCTGACCTCAGCATAAACGCCCAGAGGATCACTGTTTCCTCAGAAGCTTCTCACATGTGGCCTGTGACCCACCTTCTCTGGGAGGCCCAAGCAGTCATGAGCAGAGAGTCCCTTGATAGACTCATACCCAGAAATCTCAGGGTGGTATTCCCTCTTTCTAAACCTGAGTTTGAAGCCTTCAGTCTCAGTAGAGTATGTAATCATTATGTCATGATGAAACAACTTAGACCCAAAGAGTAGTCTTACCAGGGCCATAAGGAGCAAGGATCTAGCCTTGATGGTCATGCTGTCAATATTCAATACATATAATTATATGCCCTGTCTAGAAGATGGAGAGGCAGAGCATGACTTCTCTGTGTGTCCTAGGTGTGTTGATCTGACAAACTGTAAGTGAATTAAGTGAAAGAAATTCCACCCTCTTGAGGGGCTCTCATTTCACTGTAAAAGGAGCCAATTATCTCTAATGCAGACCCAGGGAGAGCAGAGTCATGGACATTCAGCTGCTTTCATTTTTGGTGCAGAGATGAGCTGCCTGCAAAGAACTATGGGAGTGGAGGCATAGAACACAGCAGAGATGTTCACAGGGCAAAGAATTTGGATCATATTAGGTGACTTTGGTCTCTGACTAGTGCTTTCTTTTGAGGGGTCAACCTTTCAGCCAGTAAATCTTCCAGGATTTGCCATTATGAGTCATTTGTGAAGAACTGATGTCTCAGAATTCCTGCCCATGTATTGAGTTACTGACTGACAGAACAAGGATGAGAAGGGAATTTAATGTGAACAAAACTGTATAAGGACAAAGTTTTGGAGTAAAATAGCCAAAATTGCAAATGGAAATTTGATGCACTGCAGAATCCCATGGTAGAATATTAGATTATTTACTGGTCTGTGGAAATCTGGATCAAAATGGATGAGTTTTCTTTGAATGTGTGTTTGATGGGGAGAGTAGGGGACACAAGTAGAAGTTGGACTTGACAACACAGAACATCTCACTGATTGTGTAACTGGAAAATTACTGAGAATGAACAATGAGAAAGTGACAGTTCTATGAAAGTAGAAGGGCCCCCTAGGCACTCAAAATATCATAGCAAGGTAAGAAAAATACTGAATAAGTTAAATTCTGTTGTACTCATTATTTAGAGCAATTTACACATGAGAAAAAAGAGGGAAAACCCCAAAAAGCATCAATTTGATACTTACTTTGGTTGGGTGTTTGGAAAATAGAAACATCAGGATAACGTACATTATGAGCCCACCGAAGGACACCAGCTGCCGTTGGCCCAGTTTGGCAGTGTCAAAGATCAGCCAGAAAATAGCTCCCAGGATCAGAGAGCTCCAAATCACCCTGAGAGAACCAGAAAGGGGGCATGGTTTGTAGCATTAAAGTGCTAACTTGAAAACCTTAATCAGGCTTAAACCAACAAACAAAAAATATTAAGAGTAACACGCTCTGGCACCATAAGTTATGCTTCTAGAAACTGCAACAGACCCTCTTTTGTTGTGGCTATAAAGGCAAATAGACAAAACATTAAGCAATGTGTCCCCCTCATTCCACAGCCCTTGGGCCCTTCGAGGACATCTAAAGGGGTCAGAGAAAAGAAAGGATGTTTGGAGAGAAGTCTGGTGATTTCTTTGAGAGATCTACAGGGAGTCTCACCTCCATTTTGGAAGATGAGAGAGGCGTTACCTTCTTCCCTTTAAGGGAGAACTTGAAATGCGTTCTCTGCAGCTGGGGGACCTCACCCGAGCCCAAGAGAGCCAAGTTGGACTTTACAGTAGATTCAACTCCCTGGGAAAGCAGGTGGGCCTGACAAGGCTGACTCATGGCTTGGATGGCAGAACAAGAAATGGTGCTGTGTTGGGATTGCACAACCCTGGTTTATTAGGCCAAGGATGTGTGAAGGTTCCTGGTAGATCCCAGGTGGGCCATGCTGGGGAGAACGGGCCCTGGGTCCTACCCAACAGGGCCACCTGGAGGGAGAGGAGGTCCCACAGAGAGAGGCTGCAAGAAACACCCTGAGTGGTCACCTGCAGGTCACAGGCTCCTGTAGGAGAGGGTTGGCTTTAGTAATTCACGGACCCTTCCTCTCAAGGGGGCCAGCTTCATGCCTAGAGCAGAGAGTCACCTCCCCAAGTGAGAACCATCCCATCCTTTGGACAACATCTTACCACTTCGTGGAACTTGCAATTAAGGCAGTTTGTAGGGACATTTGAACACATTTCAAACGAGTCCTCACCTTATCCAGGCCTTGATTTCCTGTTTGTAAAATGAAGGCATTTTAGCAGATTATTCCCTAGGTTGTCTCTAGCTTCAATATCCCATAAATGAGGAACCAATTTCAGAACACAGTTTTGGAAGAGTGTTCAAAAAGACAAAGATCGCTCTCAACAGCAGTAAGAGAACCAACTGCATTTACCACTTCAGCCAGGACCAATGGCTGTCCAGAAACCTTCTGCCAGGAGACAGGAGCTCTTCAATTCGATGATCATATTTGGCCATAAAGTGACCTCAGACCACAAAGAAATGGCAGCCACGGTGATCATGAAGAGAGGAAGGGCTCGGTGAAAGTTGAACGCACATGCGGCAATCACCATAGCCAGGTAAGCTGCCAGGAAGCAGACACAGATGGGGACCATCAGCACCAGCTGGAGACCAGCCACAGCACCAATCAGCTCCGCCAAGGGGAGGCTCAGTCAAGGGAGCATTGAAGGCGGGGGGGGGGCTCGTGATAGGGCTGTGGGCTGCTCTGACTATAAGTAGTGGATTTTGGGCACTTCTGTTGTTTTCCCAAACTAGTCCCTAACAGTCTCACCATGAACACTAGGACAGCGTGCTAGGTCTTTTTCTCTCATAGAATCTTCTGAGTTCTCGAATCCTGATGCTTCATCACCAGGCCTCTCACTCAGTACTACCCACTTTTTTCTGGCATTCAGACTCAGCAGGTAAGCTTCTATCAGAGAAAGGCCAGGAGTTGAAGTAACCACTGACTAAAGGTATTGATTCTCCTGGTTTGCAGCTCAGATTTGGCCTAAGCTTGAGTATGAAAACAGGCCCACCAACAATCTCTAAGTGTCCCGGGATCTCTACAGGAAAGGGAAGGGGTGGGGCAATTACCAAGGGGGCTGCTTTTGAAGAGGAGGTTGTAGGGTAAGAATAACAAGGTTTCCTGTTAAAGGTCAGCAAACATGGTCCGAGGTTAAATCTGGCTGCCACATGCTTTGTAGGTGGTCAGTACAGCTGTATTTGTATGTTTGTATTTATCTTCTACAAATAAAGTCTCATGGGAACACAGCCACTCTGTCTGTGTGCTTTTGTCCCATAAGGCAGAGTTATGTGGGTTTTGCCATATGATGTGCAAAGCCTGAGACACCATCTGGCCAGGGACACAGAAAGTTTATGGCTGTTCCCTGTTCCCGCAGTGTGACCGCCAGCAGACCCACTGACCTCGGGGTACAGCAGTCTTGGCTTAACGTCTCTGGACTTGGGTGGGAGGGTCCCATCTTAGGGACAGGAGTGCTCTTTAAAATGGGCTACGGAGCTCTTGTTTGGGAGGGAACAAAACTGGAGACGTGCTCATCTGTGAGGACAGTGTGGTCCTGCCTTCAGGCAAGAAGAGTGGGCTCCCTGACCCCAGGCTCCTCCTCGTGTTGTGTTTGCATAGAGTATTAATTGCTTATATTTCCCCTGCAGTTAGGTCTCTACCTGGTGATTATTGTCATGTTTTCCACTTACCTGGATGTGATGAACCAACCCTCAAATCCACACCATGGTCACAAAGGCCACAGGAGTAGGGGACCTAAAAAGTTAGCTTCTGGTACAAAAACTGGACAGGGAACCGCTCTGCACAGGTGTCCCACGCTGAGACCCTCCCCCGCAGGGGCTTCCTGATTGATTCTCTCCCTCTCTGGATGATTCCATGAGGTCCAGGGCAGGGGGGAGACTTATTTTCTTTCCACAGAAACCTCATATTTGGGGGATCCGCAAAAAGAGACCCTTGATTCCATCCCCTTTGTTATTTACCTGCTAATAAGATGACCCAGAAGATGTACCGAAAGGTGGTTTTGTGTTTGTGATAAAAATCCTGAATCATGCCATACTTCCTTTCCAGATACCTGTAAGAAGACAAAAGCAAAAATGCAGGCAGAAGTCAACACCAAAATCGTGAACTAAACTGGCAGCTAAGGGTAGATGGGGCTTTGTAAATCAAGCAAGCAAACGACCAAACTCATGAAGTGCATGTCGTACAATATAGAAACGGGAAACTCTTTTCATTTTGGACTAAAAGCAGCCGTGGCTTGGATCTGCCTTTGCTGAATGGATGTGATTTGCTGAACTGCATGTGCCATCCCTTGAGGGGTTGAGATGAGAGATGAGAAAACGTGCTCCTGGAAATGGAGCAGGGGAGATGGAGAACTAACCAAAAGCTGAAAGCAAATCACAGGACGAGGGTGTTTCTCACTGACTATGAGGGCCTCCATTAGCTTTTAAGCCACTGTCATTAAATGTTGATTTAAAAAAAAATAAAAATCCAATGAACTGTCATCCCTTCTGGTTCAACAAAGTTTGGCTAAGAAGGTGGTTCCCTGTCCTTGCTCACCATACTTTTTAGTGGGAGGCTGACAGCCTTCACTGGGTGCTTGAAATGTAAAATAGGATTTTGTGCATCTGAGAGCTATTAACCAGTATGTTGTAATATAGCTTTCTCAGAAAGTTCTGGAATTTTTGGCATGTCTTTGTTTCTGTCTGGAGATTTATTATGGGGTGGTAGGTGGTGTGGGAGCAATGTTTGCATCTGATCACTTCATCTGGGGAGGAAGGTGTCCACCCATAAGTGCGTGTGAAGAGGCCACAGGGCCGTACCCACAACGATTGTCCTCTACTTCTCCTGGGATGCTCCCGGTCCCCTCCACACCTGCTCTGAGAACTGGCTTCCCTGCAGGTGCCTCTTTCCTCAATGATGCACCTAACTGAAGCCTCTCCTTCTGCTTGAGGCTGGATGGAAGGAATTTACTCGCACATTTAACCATTGACACTTCCAGGCCACTGGACAGCATTTCTAAAACAAGCACTTTTCGTCCAGTATAGGAAGATTCCCAATATCCAGGACCGCACAGGACCCTGGCCCTAGCTAGGACCGCCCCTCCCCTTGGTGAATGCCTCCAGTCCCCTCCTTCCCACAGTCAGGCCCACATGTCCAGGTCTCAGCTCCCTTCAGGTTTCAGGGCACAGCTCAGTCCTTTGCTTCTACGAAGCCTTCTCGCATCTGCTCAGGTACTTCCTTCCTACTGTCTTCTCTGATTGTGTTTTCTTATGGAGTCTTGACTGACTACAACTTCCTGGAAAATGGATGTGTGTGAGCCCTACAGCACCAGCACCTGGGACACTGAGGATGCTTGACAGGCATTTGTCGAATTACTGGATGCATGCAATGGAGTGTACATTGCTTTTCTGGAACAGTATTTGACAGCTGTGGGTTGGGACCCTGTAGTGGGTTGTGAAGTCACACAGGGCATGATAACCCTCATTAAAAGGGAGAAGAGGGCATCTCAGAGGGTATCACACAGAGTGATGGTAGATATAGTTCATGAAACTTTTGTCATTATCATGTGTGAATCTGTACTGAGAATTAGAAACACTGTTCTAGAAGACATTGAAGGAATATAAATGTGTAAAGACTAAGTTTTTCATGGTCTAATTTAGGAAAGGCCGGTGATACATTATCCTCAGTCGTGGACATAGTGTTAAAAAGTAGCAGTGGTGAGGGCAGCATTTAATAGGGCGGGTCCACCTGCTTTAGAGTGGATGTATCAGATTTCTTAATTGCAGGGAATGTGTGTACATCACAGCAAGCTGACACTGCATAAAATAAAATAGCCAGAAATAGACGCTTGGCCATTTGGTTTTCTAGGCTGAAGACCTCCCAGTCTCCTGGGGGTTGTTTCTATCCCATTGACATTGGTGAAACCTGAGTGCCTCTGACCATCCAAGAGACTCTCTCAGCACCCAGCATCAGAGACTGAGAAAGTAAAGTGAAGGATGAAACTAAGCTCAGCTTTCTGACGTAGTAAATATTCTTCTTTATTTTTTCCTTTGAAGATTGGCCCTGAGCTAACATCTGTTGCCAGTCTTTCTTTATCTTCTCCCCAAAGCCCCCCAGTACACAAATGTATTTCTGCTATGTGAGGTGCCGCCTCAACGTGGCCTGATGAGCAGTGCCATGTCTGCGCCCAGGATCCGAACCGGTGAAACCCTGGGCCACCAAAGTGGAACGTGCGAACTTAACCACTCGGCCACGGGGTCAGCCCCTGAGGTGGTAAGTATTCTTGATGGTGAATATGCGATAAGAAAGTTCAATCCTAATTCTGACCAACTCCAGAGATATCTTCCGATACATAAAAACAAAGTTCCTCAGAGACTTAGGAATTAAATCAAATTTAAATAGGAGTTTAGAATATTGACAAATACTTCAGTGTGATGATACAGTACCAGGCAGTCTTGGACTAGGAATCAGAAGCTGAAGTTGTAAGTTAGCTTTGTTCCACTCTAGCTGACTAACCTTGGGTAAGTCACTTCTCTGAGCTTCATTTTCCTCGTCCAAAAACTAAAGACAATAATTTGCCTCTCCCACCTAATGGGTGATCAGGACCTGGAATACCTCCAGGGCACTAAGAGCAAGTTTGTCGGGATTTAGAATGGATTGGGTTTTGAGAAACCAATTGCTTATTGATTGACACTGGGAAGGTGAATTAACTACTTTGTATGGACTGCAGTAATTAGTTGGTAATTTACACCTTTAATTAGAAGATTGTCTGGATATTGGGTTCCAGGGCATCAGCAGTTTGAATTTACCATGTTGATTATCCTAGAGCTCCATTAATTTTTCTGAAAATGGTGTTGGGTGAGTAGTGGGGAGGGGGGATTGGTGGTGGTGACCATCTCTGATAAATCATAATAAATGTTAAAAATTACATGAGGATGTGGGGCCAGCCCCATATATGGTGGTGGAGTGGTTACGGTTGTGCACTCTGCTTCAGTGGCAAGGGGTTTGCCAGTTCAGATCCTGGGCACGGACCTACACATCACTCATCAAGCCATGCTGTGGCAGCGACCCAGGTAGAAAAACTAGAATGACCTACAACTAGGATATGCAGCTATGTGCTGGGGCTTTGGGGAGGGAAGAAAAAGAGGCATATTGGCAACAGATGTTAGCTTAGGGCCAATATTCCTCAAGAACAAAACAAAAAGAAACCCTTCAAAAAAAATTAGATGAGGATAAAACAACCACTCTGTTTAGGAGGTAGGTGTGGTTATTTCTCTGGTTGAAACCTGTACCCTTTTGGATGCATCTCTTGATCGTCCTTTTCATCTTCTTTGTTTCTTGTAGAATCCAGCTCAATGGTGACCTGCTCTTCATCCTGGAAATCAAACAGTGGAGCAGAGATGGAATAATGAGAATCTTGGGCATAATGGGCCCTGATCTCTTTTGCTCAGAATTTTGGCAAAGAACTTTTAAAAGGCCCTTTTAAATCATTATGCAAGAAGATGGCTCCTACCATCTACTGCACGGACGTTTTTTCCACTTGTCACAAAAAATCCAGATCACACGTCTCTTCCTTTACTTCCAAAGGAGCCGTTGGTATTATCTCCTTTTCCTTAGGAACAGGCTCATACCTCTGTTTTTCGCTCTTGCCTTTACTGTAATCATTCACTCACTGCTCTGTTTTCAGGCAGGTGCTAACTGTGTAAATCTCCCTTTATACTCTGCCAGCCCCAGTTTCCAAAGGGCTGAGATGAAGGGGAGCAATATTCGCCACCCCAAAATGTGTCTCTTCAACATGAGAATTATTTTAGCTTTGGCCATTTTGGCAAGTTACTCAGTTTTCCTGGGTTTCTCCCACGTGTGCATGTTATTAAACTTCGTTAGATTTTTCTCCTGTTCATCTGTCTCGTGTCAATTTAATTCTTAGACCTGCCAGAAGAACCTAGAAGGGTAGAGGAAAATTTCTTCCTCCTCTGCAGAGACCAAGGCTGGTTTTATTTTCCTGGCAGCCTAAGGCTTGGTCTATGGATGTGAACACTAGTTCAGCATCTTCAAGAGCTAATAAACTCCCCTTGGGAACTAGAGTTCTGCTATCAGTCAGGCTAAAGGGAACTATTTCCCTTACTCTGCTAGCCCTTTCTCTGATTAACTGAGTGAAGTGGATACCTGGGCCATCTTTCATGGACAAATTTCCAGATACTGTTTGAGCTCCTAAATATCCATGATCCATAGTATTCTTGGGATGGCATAGAGGATTTCCTCCCTCCCTCCATTCTGCAATAATGTCTCCCTTAGGTCCAGCTATTGTAAGCAATGGCGAGGGTATGTGGGGAGGAAGTATGTGGATACAGAGCAGTTTTGAACATGCTTTAAGAGGTATAAGGCCAAATTTCAGCTTTAGTTTTCTGTCATATCCCATGAGGCCTTTGATTCTCTGTACCTCAATAAAAATTACAGAAATGAGTCCCTAGTATGTATCTGAGCTGAAGAGATCCTCAAAGATGACACAGCCCTTCGATGCCAAACTCCATTATACTTCTGACTTAGACAGACTTCATTTTCTCCCTGGGCCTTGGGAACCAGGAAGGCGAGGGGACAATTGCAAGAGAGACCAGCTGAATCCAAGCTGCAGCTGCTAAGGTCAGGGGTGGACACCAGCCTCATTCATTTTTTCCCGAACATTTAGCCTGGCCAATAGTCAAAGTTTGGTAAATTTTTTTTTCTTCTGCTTTATCTTCCCCAACGCCCCGTACATAGTTGTATATCTTAGTTGCAGGTCCCTCTAGTTGTGGGATGTGAGAAGCCGCCTCAACGTGGCCTGACGAGCAGTGCCATGTCCGCGCCCAGGATCCAAACCCTGGGCCGCCGCAGTGGACCACGTGAACTTAACCACTGGGCCACGGAGCCAGCCCTGGTAAATTTTTGATTTAAATGATCATAATTATTATTGTCTTACAGAGAAATTACCAAGTTACCTACTATCTATGGAATTTCTAACGTTATTATTGTTTTGTTTTCTTTTTTCCCAACATTCTCATCTTTAAAACAAAACAAAACAACAACAACAACACCTTCTTGACCCCACAGTCACGGACATCTGCCCCCTCCTTCCCTTCACAGCCAGACCACCTGAAAGAGTTGCCTTTACTTTTCGTGACCCGCTCCCTCACATCCTGCTCCCTCAGCCCCCTGTGATGGGGCTTCCACGGAGATGGCTTCTGCCAAGGTCACCCAAGGACCACTGTTGCCAAATCCAGCAGCTACTCCTCAGTCTTCATGCTTCCATTTATGATAGTAAAGTATCTAATTTTTGTTTTTGATTTTTTTTTGTGAAACAATATTAAACAAACAAAAAGAAGACTTTCTTTTTTAGAGCAGTTTTAGGTTCACAGCAAAACTGAGTGGAAAATAGAGATTTCCCATATATCCACTGCCCTCACACATGCATAGTCACCACCCCATTATCAATGTCTCCCACTAGATTGGTACATTTATTGCAATTGATGAACCTACATTGATACATCATTATCATCCAAAGCCCATAGTTTACCTTAGGGTTCACTCTTGGTGTCGTACATTCTATGGGTTTGGACAAACGTTTAATGACATGTATCCACCATTATAGCATCACAAAGGGTAGTTTCACTGCCCTAAAGTCCTCTGCGCTCTGCTTAGTCACCCCTCCCTCTTCTCGTCGTAACCACTGGTCTTTTTACCATCTCCACAGTTTTGCCTTTTCCAGAATGTTGTATAGTTGGAATCATACGGTGTGTAGCCATTTCAGATGGCTTCTTTTACTTAGCAATACACATTTAATGTTCCCCCATGTCTTTTCATGACTTGACAGCTCATTTGTTTTTAGTGCTGAAGAATATTCCATTGCCTGGATGTACCACAGTTCATTTATCACTCAACTACTGAAGGATGTCTTGGTTGCTTCCAAGTTTTGGCAACTATGAGTAAAGCTGCTATAAACATCCATGTGCAGGTTTTGTGTGGACAGAAGCATTGTTTTCTCTTGGATAATATTTAGTGAAATGGACGCTTTTTAAACTACATTAAGTGAAATAGTTAGTAATAATGTGTATAACATGATCCCAATATAGGTAACATGTGCATGTGGTTGTATATTTGCATTGAAAGGCCATATTCCAAGATGGTAGGTGCTAAGTTTTTTCTGGAATTATGGGTCATTTTTTTGTCTTCCAAATTTCACTGCAATAATTTTCCAAATTTTCTACTTCAAACAAGTTATTCTTTTTTATCATATGAAAACTCTCCCAATAAATAACTCAAGAGTAGGGACCCAGAATTACGTTAAAAAAAAAAGGATGAGCTGCGTGGATACTTTGTTTGCTTTTTAGCAGAAGAATGCTTTCTTCAAAGGAGATTCCACCCAGAATTCAATATATAAAAAAAATAAAAGTGGCGTTGTGAAAGAACGCCTCAGCCTGCTCTGTAAACTTAGGTGTCACTGAGGAACCCTAGGGCGTGATGGACAGTTTTAGAACCATGTCTTAGAACCTTTCTCATCTGCCTCATTTACCTTAAAACTGAGATGCTTTTGTTAAGACAGTGCCTTCGGCCTTAGGATGGAGCTTGGGATTCGTAATAGTGAGGTGTCAGAGGAAGCCTGCGTACCCTCCCCATTGGAGAACTCTGAGGACCGGTGTGTAAACACAAAATCTTTGTTCGGGCCTGTGTGTTTTCCTCATGACTCTGCCTTACACACTCTAATGACGATTTAATTCATTCCTCCCAGTGCCAGCCGAGCGCCATGCTTTCTGTCCCTGTAGCTCTCAGGTGCTTGTTGCACAGTGGTTCCCACGGTAACGGATTCACTCACCGCCCTCCTCCCCTACCTGTTTGGCCTTTCCGTGCCCTCTGCTCTGCACAGCTCTGCTCCTCAGTGAGCTGTCGTTTCCTGATGTGTTCTGGTTTTCACGAAAGTCTTCTTCATTCTAAGGAAAAAGGACAGATTACAAAAATAAAATTTCAGAACCAAAAAACAAATGTCTTTTCAATGAGTGACACCTAGAAAACTTCTGAGGAGTGGGACGGCAAAGACGAGGAGTTTAGATGATTTGGCTGGTTAAAGAAAGAACCAGTGAATCTTGGCTCATGAAGACATACAGATGATTTTTGTTTTGTTTGGTTCTGATAGAAAGATTGGTGTGGTCCAGCTTGAGGGAGAGAGCAAGGAGGACAAGTGCCCTCGTCCAGACCATAGGACTTTCTAATCAGCACAGCTGCGACCAGGGGGCAGGTTTCCAGTCTCCTTTCCATCACATCACACAGGCTTTCAACTGATAAAATAAAACAAAATATAGTAAACCCTAGGCCAATAATTTTATTCTTAGGTGTTGGATTTATGGTGTGTTAAAATGTGCTGTGTTTGGTTTAAAGCAGTCTCTGGTAGTATGAGCACAGGGGAAATGCCTCCTCTTGTGAGGCTGGTTTTACTTTGAGGAACTGAGTGAGGTGTGCTCTGGGAGGGGTGTGCTGACCCACAGCTGCTTTTTCCAGATGTGACAAACGCCTGGTTCATTTCTCTTTTAACTTTTTTCGGAGGGGGTCCAATTCTTCTCCCACCTCATCCCAGCTTGCCTCTTTATAAGATACTTTTTGTATGGCAACAGATAGACACATGGTGTCAAGTGGGTCCCTATCTCTTTTCAGGAAATGTCCCCTGCTAGCTCTGTCAGCTGTGACCTTGTCTTTGAAAAAAGAACAAGAATATGACTTGATTTTAACTTTAGGTCTCTGACTGGCCCCAAGGATCTAGACAAAATTACAGTTCCAACTTGTGTTGCATTTTCCATTTATTGAAATACAAGAGTGTGTAAGTGTGAATAAAATCTAACTTCGAGCACACTCATGATTTGTGTATAAATGTCTTGTTGCCAAACTGCCCTTTTGTGTTACAGTTGTTTACATCTTACTTTAGCACAGTTCCTTGCACGTGGCAGACACGAACAATTACTGTTGAATTAATGAACCATAGTGATTTTAATTATGCACTAACTGGTACAGCAGTGTAATACCTCTAGGAACTTGGTATACAGATATGGCAGGGAGTGACAATATACGCAGTATGGAAAGATGACAAAGTGTTGCTAATTGCTGAAGCTGACTCATGGATACTTAGGGACTCATTTACTAGTCTTACTTTCATGGATGCTGAAAATATCCTTAATAAAAAGTTAAGAATAAAACGCAGCATGAATTGGTAGAAAAACAGGACACAGGTAGCTGAAGTGGCTCGTCCTCAGGGTCCCTAATTACATGTGTAATGAAATGTAAGTGGAAGTGGAGCCCTGAGTGGGGCAGCTCAGGGACGCTCCTTAGGAGACGGCTGGTGGGTGCTCTTTGTCCCTTTCCTCCTTTCCTCCATCCTGCAGCCTGGTGTGTGGAGGGTCCCAGCTGGGCCATGAGCACAAGGGCCCGGTCCTGCTGATGACAGAGTGGTGAGTTGGGGGGACTTGAGTCCTGAAAACCTTGCTTCCCCTCCAGCTCTCTCCTTCCTACTGCCTGACTTGTATCTGCAGGAAACAGACTCCTCTTTTGCTACTTTTGGATTTTGCTATTATTTCACCTGGATTGATATAATATTTAATAGGTACAAGACACTGGGTTAAACCCTTTAAAAATTCTGTATTTGACCCTAAGAGGCCTGTGAGGTGGGTTCTGTGATCTCCATTTTACAGATGAAGAAACTAAGGCAAAGGTAAGTAATCTCTTGACTGAGCTGCACAACCGGGAATGGCTGAGATGGGATCTGAACTCGGACCTTTCAACCGCAGACTGCATCGTGCCTGTGGTGTTTGGCCCTTGGGCCAAGACCCTCTGGCCTTGGGAGTGTCTAAGCGCATAGTAGTGCACCTAAAGGTTAAACTCCCTTTCAGTGAAACGTACCTGATTTGAATTCTAGATATTAAAAGACAAGAGTAGAAATGACAGAGGTGCCGAGAGATTCCTGAAATGCTTGTGGCCACTTTTAAACTCTATTTGGGCTCTGGTGGTCATTTCTGAAGCCACAATACTGGCCCTCCCACCCAATAACTGGTTTTAAGTAGAGGCTATCCTTTAAATAACATGAGTGGGCACGCCCGCATCTGTGGACACATCTTGTCTCCATGATTAGTCTGATGTTTGTTCTTCCAACTGTGTCTGTACCACTCACTCCATCTCTCCCTCCCCTTGTGGCCCTGATGGCAGCATGTGGCTTCCATGTCTCAGTTTTTGTGGCCATGCTTTCTCTGCTGCAGACTCAACATCACTGTTCCAGGGGAGCCCTTCTTCCATCTTTGTAGAAACTGCTCTGGCTGGTGTGCTCTGCCTGTGGGACTGACCTTTCTGAGGGGGCACAGCCTGGCTTTGAGGCCTGGGGCCAGAACAGGTACCTTCACCCCCAGGAGACTTCCCTCCTGACCTTTGGTTGGACGGAGATCGTGTAGGTTTATGGGAAGACGGGACTTGTCCAGCAGGCAAATGTGATGTTGACAAGGACCCTGAGGAGTCACTGTGAAGACCTTTAACTGGTTCTAGAGCCTGACTCTCACACAGTCTTCCTAGAAGCAGTCAATGTGGTGCATTGTGAGAAGGGGTGATGCCTGAAAAGTCACCATGGATGTCAGAGTCCCAACGCCTGTGACAAAAGAGGGCATGTGACGATGTCAGTTGGACTGGGGACCGTGTAAATCTCTATTGTAGATTTACACCCACTGGACTCTAAGCCGAGAAGCCAGAGACTCTGTCCCCCATTCTCTGCATAGCACAGTGCCAGGCAGGAAGTGCTCAATAACCGTTTCTGAAAGGATGGGAAACGCATTCCTAGGGGCTGTTGAGCTGATTATAGTTGCAGCTAAAACAGTGACTCTGCAGCTGAGTAGAGACCACACAGCACAGGACAGCTTTCTCTACTTCTCCAAGACAGTTCCCTTGTGTTCTAATATTCTAAGACTTCGGTACCTAAATCAAGGTGTCAGAAATACATCTCCACTTTCTGTTTTTCTGAGCTTCTTCAATGATCTTTCTGTATCTGTTTCTCTGGGCACAGGATGGGACTAGATCAGAGCAACTGCCTCAAACGGTAACGTAAAACTCCAAAGTGCAACAGAAATAGGCCATAGGAAGAGCTCATCATAAACCTGAGGTGACTGCTTTTTGGAATATTGATAAATTATCTATATTATTTGGTGCTCCACTGTGACGAAAAGCTTGGGTTACATGGTCCTACCTGCGTTCAAATCCAGCCTTAATTTCTCGAGGCCTCATGCCCTTCTTCATGGGAATGTAGGATTCCTCACCTTCCTCATGGGGCTGTGGGGCTGTTCCAGGGCCACACATAGTGAGAGCTCATTGACTTCTCTGTTGATTGCATGGTTTACTTTACTACTCGCTTGCTTGTTCTGGAGCATTTGCAGTCACTTTGTTCTCTGTTGTTGAAATTTGACTGGTGAAAGTGAACCTCTGTTTCGTGAATCTGATCTCTTCAACTGCTTGACATCATTCCTCTCTCCCTCCTTTTTGCTTTTTTTAACTTTAAAATCTGCAAATGTCAGATTTTTTTTTGATTTTTTTTTTTATTAATGTTATGATAGATTACAACCTTGTGAGATTTCAGTTGTACATTTTTGTTAGTCATGTTGTGGGTACACCACTTCCCCCTTTGTGCCCTCCCCCTATCCCCCCTTTTCCCTCGTAACCACCGATCAGATCTCCTTATCAATATACTAACTTCCACCTATGAGTGGAGTCATATAGAGTTCATCTTTCTCTGACTGGCTTATTTCGCTTAACATAATACCCTCGAGGTCCATCCACGTTGCTGTTAATGGGCCAATTTTGTCTTTTTTTATGGCTGAGTAGTATTCCATTGTGTATATATACCACATCTTCTTTATCCAATCATCAGTTTCTGGGCATGTAGGTTGGTTCCACGTCTTGGCTATTGTAAATAATGCTGCGATGAACATAGGGGTGCAAGGGACTCTTGGGATTTCTGATTTCAGGTTCTTAGGATAGATACCCAGTAATGGGATGGCTGGGTCATAGGGTATTTCTATTTTTAACTTTTTGAGAAATCTCCATACTGTTTTCCATAGTGGCTGTACCAGTTTGCATTTCCACCAACAGTGTATGAGGGTTCCTTTTTCTCCACAACCTCTCCAACATTTGTCACTCTTGGTTTTGGATGTTTTTGCCAATCTAACGGGTGTAAGGTGATATCTTAGTGTAGTTTTGATTTGCATTTCCCTGATGATTAGCAATGATGAACATCTTTTCATGTGTCTATTGGCCATATTCATATCTTCTTTTGAGAAATGTCTGTTCATGTCCTCTGCCCATTTTTTGATCGGGTTGTTTGTTTTTTTGTTATTAAGCAGTGTGAGTTCTTTGTATATTATGGAGATTAACCCTTGTCAGATAAGTGGCTTGTAAATATTTTTTCACAATTAGTGAGCTGTTTTTTTGTTTCAATCCTGTTTTCCCTTGCCTTGAAGAAGCTCTTTAGTCTGATGAAGTCCCATTTGTTTATTCTTTCTATTGTTTCCCTCAACTGAGGAGTTATAGTGTCTGAAAAGATTCTTTTGAAACTGATGTCAAAGAGTGTACTGCCTATATTCTCTTCCAGAAGACTTATTGTTTCAGGCCTAATCTTTAGGTCTTTGATCCATTTTGAGTTTATTTTGGTGTGTGGTGAAAAAGAACGGTCAATTTTCAATCTTTTGCATGTGGCTGTCCAGTTTTCCCAGCACCACTTGTTGAAGAGACTTTCTTTTCTCCATTGTAGGCCCTCTGCTCCTTTGTCGAAGATTAGCTGTCCATAGATGTGTGGTTTTATCTCTGGGCTTTCAATTGTGTTCCATTGATCTGTGGACCTGTTTTTGTACCAGTACCATGCTGTTTTGATCACTGTAGCTTTGTAGTATGTTTTGAAATCGGGGATTGTGATTCCGCCAGCTTTCTTTTTCTTGCTCACGATTGCTTTAGCAATTCGTGGTCTTTTGTTGCCCCATATGAATTTTAGGATTCTTTGTCCAATTTCTGTGAAGAATGTTCTTGGGATTCTGATTGGGATAGCATTGAATCTGTAGATTGCTTTAGGTAGTATGGACATTTTAACTATGTTTATTCTTCCAATCCATGTGCATGGAATGTCTTTCCATCTCTTTATGTTGTCATCAATTTCTTTCAAGAAAGTCTTGTAGTTTTCATTGTATAGAGCCTTCACTTCCTTGGTTAAGTTTATCCCAAGGTATTTTATTCTTTTCGTTGCGATTGTGAATGGGATTGAGTTCTTGAGTTCTTTTTCTGTTAGTTCATTGTTAGTGTATAGAAATGCTACTGATTTATGTACATTAATTTTATACCCTGCTACTTTGCTGTAGTTGTTGATTATTTCTAATAGTTTTTCTATGGATTCTTTGGGGTTTCTATATATAAGATCATGTCATCTGCAAACAGTGAGAGTTTTACTTCTTCGTTACCTATTTGGATTCCTTTTATTTCTTTTTCCTGCCAAATTGCTCTGGCCAACACCTCCAGTACTATGTTGAATAGGAGTGGTGAAAGTGGGCACCCTTGTCTTGTTCCTGTCCTCAGAGGGATGGCTTTCAGTTTTTGTCCATTGAGTATGATGTTGGTTATGGGTCTGTCATATATGGCCTTTATTATGTTGAGGTACTTTCCTTCTATACCCATTTTATTGAGGGTTTTTATCATAAATGGGTGTTGGATCTTGTCGAATGCTTTCTCTGCATCTATTGAGATGATCATGTGGTTTTTGTTTTTCATTTTGTTGATGTAGTGTATCACGTTGATTGACTTGCGGATGTTGAACCATCCCTGTGTCCCTGGTATAAATCCCACTTGATCATGGTGTATAATCTTTTTGATGTATTGCTGTATTCGGTTTGCCAAAATTTTGTTGAGGATTTTTGCATCTATGTTCATCAGTGATATCGGCCTGTAGTTCTCCTTCTTTGTGTTGTCCTTGTCAGGTTTGGGGATCAGAGTGATGTTGGCTTCATAGAATGTGTTAGGGAGTACTCCATCTTTCTCAATTTTCTGGAACAGTTTGATAAGAATAGGTATTAAGTCTTCTTTGAATGTTTGGTAGAATTCTCCAGAGAAGCCGTCTGGTCCTGGACTCTTATTTTTGGGGAGGATTTTGATTACCGTTTCTATTTCCTTACTTGTGATTGGCCTATTCAGATTCTCCATTTCTTCCTGATTCAGTTTGGGGAGATTGTAGGAGTCTAGGAATTTGTCCATTTCTTCCAGGTTGTTCAATTTGTTGGCATATAGTTTTTCATAGTACTCTCTTATGATCTCTTGTATTTCATTGGTATCTGTTGTGATTTCTCCTCTCTCATTCCTAATTTTATTTATTTGCGATTTCTCTCTTCTTTTCTTGGTGAGTCTGGCTAAAGGTTTCTTGATTTTGTTAATTTTTTCGAAGAACCAACTCTTTGTTTCATTGATCCTTTCTATTGTCTTTTTTGTTTCAATATCGTTTATTTCTGCTCTTATTTTTATTATTTCCCTCCTTCTACTGACTTTGGGCTTTGTTTGTTCTTCTTTTTCTAGTTCTGTTAGGTGTCGTTTGAGGTTGCTTATGTGAGCTTTTTCTTATTTAGTGAGGTGAGCCTGTATTGCGATGAATTTCCCTCTTAGGACTGCTTTTGCTGCATCCCAAATGATTTGGTATGTTGTGTTCTCATTTTCATTTGTCTCCAGATAAAATTTGATTTCTTCTTTAATTTCTTCAATGATCCATTGTTTGTTGAGAAGCGTGTTGTTTAGTCTCCACATTTTTGCACCTTTCTCTGCTTTTTTCTTGTAGTTGATTTCTAGTTTCATAGCATTATGATCAGAAAAGATGCTTGATATTATTTCAACTCTCTTGTATTTATTGATGTTTGCTTTGTTGCCCAAAATATGGTCAATCCTTGAGAATGTTCCATGTGCACTTGAGAAGAATGTGTAACCTGCTGTTTTTGGATGAAGTGTTCTATATATATCTATTAAGTCCATCTGGTCTAATTTTTCATTTAATTCTATTATTTCCTTGTTAATTTTCTGTCTGGATGTTCTGTCCATTGGTGTTAATGGTGTGTTGAGGTCCCCTACTATTATTGTATTGTTGTTGATGTCTTCTTTTAGTTCTATTAAGAGTTGCTTTACAAATTTTGGTGCTCCTGTGTTGGGTGTCTATATATTTATAAGTGTTATGTCTTCTTGGTGGAGAGTCCCTTTTATCATTATATACTGTCCCTCTTTGTCTTTCTTTATCTGTTTTGCTTTGAAATCTACCTTGTCTGATATTAGTATAGCGACACCTGCTTTCTTTTGTTCATTATTAGCTTGGAGTATTGTTCTCCATCCCTTCACTCTGAGTCTGTGTTTGTCTTTGGGGCTGAAGTGTGTTTCCTGGAGGCAGCATATGTTGGGTCTTGTTCTTTGATCCATCCTGCCACTCTGTGTCTTTTGATTGGGGAGTTCAATCCATTTACATTTAGAGTGATTATTGAGATGTGGGGGCCTACGACTACCATTTTATGTCTTGTTTTCCGGTTTTCTTCAATTTCCTTTGTTTCTCGTCCCATGGGTTAATCTGTTCTGATGAAGAGCTGCTACTCTCTGTTGTTGTCCTTCTACTTATCTCCTCTGCTCTTGGTTTTGTAGCCCCTTTCCTTTTTTGGATTTTTCAGGAATGAGGGTTTTCCTGAGGATTTCCTGAAGAGGAGGTTTTGTGGCAATGAACTCCCTTAATTTTTGTTTATCTGGGAAAGTTTTTATTTCTCCATCGTATTTGAAGGATATTTTCACTGGGTAGAGAATTCTTGGCTGTAGATTTTTGTCCTTCAGATTTTTGAATATATCATTCCACTCTCTCCTAGACTGTAAAGTTTCTGCTGAGAAATCTGCTGATAGCCTGATGGGGGTTCCTTTGTAGGTTAGTTTCTTTTGCCTGGCTGTCCTTAGTATTTTCTCCTTGTCGTTGACTTTTGCTAGCTTCACTACTATATGCCGTGGGGTTGGTCTTCTTGCATTGATAAAGTTTGGAGATCTATTGGCTTCTGTCACCTGAAGATCCATCTCCCTCACCAGATTTGGGAAGTTGTCAGCCATTATTTCTTTGAATGGGCTTTCTGCCCCTTTCTCCTTCTCTTCTCCCTCTGGTATACCTATAATCCTTACGTTGCATCTCCTAATTGTGTCTGATAATTCTCGGAGAGTTTCTTCATTTCTTTTTAGTCTTACTTCTCTCTCCTCCTCTGCCTGCAGCATTTCTATATTGCCATCTTCCAAATTGCTAATTCTTTCCTCCATATTATCGGCCCTACTGTTCAGAGCATCTAGATTTTTCTTAATCTCCTCTATTGTCTTCTTCATTTCCAATATTTCTGTT